GGCACAACTGCATGGACACAACAATGCTTCCGGCGGTTGTTTGCAATTTTTTCTCATTTCCTATGCATTCTCCTGTTCACTTGGAGAAAAATTAATAAATTACTCAATTTCTGTGATTAATTTATGAAATTTTATAATTGCGTTTAAAGACGTACCTTTGCATATTTGTCGTCTGTCAGATAAAGAAGTGAATGCTGATTGTCTAATTAAAACCAATGTTTGGGTTGAATTTATTAAAGAATGTAGAAAATTTTATGGAGTTCTTAAGTAAATAAAAAGAAGGGCAAAGAATGTATGTGATTATTTAGGTCATTTTATTGTTTATTTATTTCATCCACCACGTCACGTGGATTTGGGCGACCTACAAGTGCAATCTATGTTCTTTTTACCTACTCCGAGTTTCGAGTTCAAAATCATAGATGACACTTATTTTCTTTGAATAGGTTACTTACTCTGGTTATGTGCTTTTGATTTTTCTTAATAAACCAATTCGGCAGTGGAAAATTAACAAATTACTCAATATATGTGGTTAATTTAAGAACTTTTATAATTGCATCATAAAGGCAGATCCTTCAAGAACTTTCCAATATTATTTTCGATATAAATTTGTTCCTAATTAATTAATTATTAATTATTATTCCACAGGGTGTTTGAATTCTTGCCGCACATACCAATAGTTTTTCATTAATTGCTATTTTCTGCGTAATCAATTTCAATCAACTTCATGCACGCATTATATAAACGATATCCTGGGGCATCTTCACATATCACTTTTGTTCACATTTTGATTCTAGTTTCGCTTAGTATTAAATATTTTCACGGAAGATTATGACGGCCGTCGTTACGAAATCATGAACGCTATCAAACAATAATTAATAACTATTAAATTAGCGTTAAATTCTTTACGAAAAATATATAAGAATGTTGCCTGAAGTTTCAGCTTTGGAATGAAATTATAAAAGTTCATAAATTAATTACGGAAATTGAGTAATTTATTAACTTTTCTCTGTCAGAGCCCTTCTATCCTTTTCGGCGTTTGTTTGCGCTAATAATATGCGTTAATAATACATCTTAATAAATCAATTCGGCAGTAGAAAATTAATAAATTTCCAAGTTTTTGTTATTAATTCATGAACATTTATAGCTGCACAGCAAAGTTGGAATTATAGGCAACATTCTTGTACAATGTTTAATTTAATAATTAATACTTACATGAGCGATAGGTTTTGTATTTTCTGTATCTAATAATTATTCATATTTTCGTTTTCTTTCTACAGTGAATAAGATTGCTATAGAAAACTGTTTTTCTTGGATAATAATCTTATTATTTTCTAATAAATATATACTAACATAAGAAAGCGTAGAAAATAAATTTTTTTATTAAGAAATTTTATTTAGAATTGTTTATTTACAATGTTTTCATAGGCGAAAAATGAATATAAAATAAAAAATAGATTGTAGAAAAATTACCAACTATGGACAGGAATTGAACTCCGGTCCCTCCAGTATATAGGAACTCTCGACTGTCACCGTCAGGCCACGACTCCACTAGAAAACTATTGGAAATAAATCTATAATTAAAGAAGTCATAAAACTTTAATCGTAAATATTTCAAAAAGTATTGAGTAGTTGTGGCTATAATTGTATACATTCTTGAACTGCATGACGAAATTTATAAAACTGTAAAGTTTCAACTAAATCGGTAATCCGAACGACTTGCACTCTCCTTGTTAGATATATGTCTTTTACTAGTTAGTTACTTCCGTTGTGAATATCTGAAATGGTACTTGTTTCACGTAACGAACAAATGTACATGAAATAAAACATAAATTAGACTATAATATTAACATATTAAATACATTGACATTTTAGTTTTGAAAACACAATCCGACTAACGTTATTCGTAAGATCATGAATTATATTGTTCGAAGACTGGTTAGAAAGCGCCCTGCTAAAACGTGAAGTTCATAGAAACGAAATGCATTGGTTCAAGAGGTAATCACGTGATTTAAAGAATTCTCAATTTCTCGGCCGATACATGGGTAAACCATGCACGTGGTTCTCCGTTATCTATGATCGAACGTGCATTGTCTCCAGCTGGCAATGACTTGCATTCTTTATAAATTCTTGTAAAACATGTTAGTGTCTGAGTCCGTTATTCCAAAATTCTTTTCCGCACGCTTAACTAGTTATTTCCTTTTCTTTCCACATTTTTCGAATTGTTGATACAATTATGTAACCTATCTTTCGTGCTATATTCGTTTTTTCGAGATCGAGAATCATGGATAATTTGTTGTTTGTGTTTAAAATATTTTAATAGTTCATTTAAATTGTTTAAACAATTTAATTATATCAGTGCTAAATTATATGTAATTATTAATTTTTATCTAATATATTATTTATAATTGCTATATGTACTGTATATATTGAACTGTATCTAAATTTATAAAATATGTCATTGTCATATTACGAAGTACATATTACATGTTTTGTTGTGATAAATATAATTTGAAAACTTAAAATTCTGTTAGATAAGTTACGTTCAGTGTGTAATTGACAGATTATATATATATGTCAGATTCATATAATGCTAAAATCGAGGTAAAATCTCTTCGGTCGTTTCAGATATTCCCGTTCATTGAGTTGGAATGATCGTATTATACAAATACTATAAATAATATTAGCGAATGTGTTGTTAGAATATTTAACGAATATTTAGATGATGTTAGGAGTTAGGTTAGTATGTATAATGTGTAAACTACATAAAATATATATATTTGATTTTAAAAGTATACACCTAAACTGGATCCAATAGAGCACCCGTTGTCATCGGACGAGGTGGCCGAGTGGTTAAGGCGTTGGACTGCTAATCCAATGTGCTCTGCACGCGTGGGTTCGAATCCCATCCTCGTCGATTCGCTTTTTGTTATTACTAAAAAAAAATATTCTGATTCGTAAATCACGTACAAATACAGGAGAAAGTTGATAAAAAGGTTGTCAACTCTTTAGTGTTCAGAAGTTATTGAACTCTATAAAAAAATGAATTGCAGGAAAGAAAGGAATTTATAAATAAAAAGTATATTTACAATCTTTATTTTAAGATTATTACAATTCTTTTTATCCAATTAATTAATTTCATTGACACAGTATATTTAAAATATTTAGTTTACCTTTAAATAAGCGTAAAAATGATTTATTATACGGTGCATGAAAGATCTCTCGATAAAATTCGTGTACATAAATAAGTCTGTATCTGTAATGTTAACAAAACGGTAAAATTTATTTGTTTAGTCTCTTCGAATGGAGATATTATCATCGATGATTTCTTGACGTTGCACAATCAATTATGTAACTATGGAATGCACTTCACGTTCGATCATGAATTTTTTTGTAGAGTTTTTCCTGCTTACTGTAATTCAACGTGGATGTGTCGAATAGATCAGATTTGACGTCAAAAGGATAAAGTGGAATATACGTAAGGAAACGAGTGTTGATAACTTCACTAGCGATTAGTTAACAGAAATCCCCTATGAGTTATGAATTATTTATTACGCTCAAGTTTACCTAACAATTGAATCCACCAGATTTTCCTTAATACAATAATTTATTCATAACATTAAGCATTGCGTGTCAGTGAAATACTTAATTGTAAATTGTCATATGAGCAACGATCTACTTGTTTGATGAAGCATAACATTGGTAGTTCGCAAAAACATGTTAAGTAATAAAATCAACGTTGTAGGTTATATTTCATTTTAAGTAGTATTATAAATACTAAACACTATTATAACTTTAAATTTATATCACGTGGATTATATGCTAGTTTATTATGTGAAGTTTTCTTTTTATAATAATATAATTTGTATAAATTCTTTAATAAGGAGTTCATTCGACAGAAATTTATCGTATTCTCAGATGTCAGTCACCTTTGATACAGAGTGTAAACGTACGTATGAATGAGTAATTGTGTGATATAAATGGATACAAATAAAATATTCACTAACAACGAGTATTTCTAATCTTTGAATGTAGTAATTTGTAAATTATAATTATGATTATGTTTTAGATGACACGTTCAGTATGCGGAAAGCATTCTATTATTTATACCTCATATTGTAGTCGTATTGTGTAAAATTTTCTTATTAAAGGAGATGTCACTTCAATTTATTTGGTATGTATATATATCTTGTTATTAATGAATTTATATATGTCAAAATTTAGTAAATATATTTTTAATTTTTTAATAGATAATGAACAAATTATACAATGGCACATCGTACATAAGCACTGATTAATTATTTCAACAAGCAATAATTTTCTACTTTAATACGTATTTGTTGAACAATTTTTCGAGATAATTATTATGCAAATCGTTTCGAGAAAAGATATCGCACTGATCAAGGATATCGAATCGATAAACACTAGGAAGTGTTATAATCTGCTGTAGCCCCCTGTCGAGATTAGATTTATTTAAATATTCAGAAGTGCGCTTCTAAAGTAGTTACCGATTATCGTTAATTCAAGCTACTGCTATTTGTATGCAATGGAAATAATTTAGTTACATCAAGAAGAAAGGTTTGGTCTTTCTGTATTGTTGTTAAGATAGACTTAAAACATTTGGTATCGGTAATATCTTATATTTTATTAAAAAAAATAAATCCGATATTGAGTCCAGAGTTCTCATTAAAAGAACTAAAATTAATGTTAACAGTGGATTTAAGACATTTCTATAGTATAAAGAAATTTTATTTTTATTTTGTCATTTATAAATAATAATTACAATTCTTAATTTACTAAATTTTATGTCACTACGAATAGGGCATTATGAATCATGTTTACGTATGATACACGTGTCTTCAAATGATAATACTGTATCAGCAATCGTGCGTAATAATCATGTTCTGTTTTATCGACGTTACCAGTTTGCTTAGATTATACATTATACTGGAACTGGAATATATGAAGCTTGTGTGTTAAGCGTACGAAGCTAGCTGCTTTGAAATAGTATTCGATTATGCAAAAATGTCGTATAACAGAGGAAGTATCGGGGAAAGAACACCGTTGTTGAGTAAGTTTTATTCCCAAGTTCCACTTTGTCGGCAACTCCATTTATAGTATCATAACTCGATTTGCTCGTTATTTCAGTTTGTTTCTCGTATTTACACTATCAGTAAATCCTTTGTGTTAAATAAGAGATGTTTTTAATGTACGAACTCCGAATCATTGATAATTATAATGTTTTGGTTCATTTTGTACTATAACAGTTTTATAAGGGGTCTTATTTAGCTTTTGTATAAAGTACATGTTATAATATTTTACATTTGTTATTCAATCTTATAATTATATAATTATTTGTACATTTTACTACTTTTTTATACATAATAATACAAAGTGCAAACTGTAGCAGTCGTGGCCGAGTGGTTAAGGCGTCTGACTAGAAATCAGATTCCCTCTGGGAGCGTAGGTTCGAGTCCTGCCGACTGCGATTGAAAAGGAAAAGTTGCATATTTCTATTTTTTTCTTTTTTTAATTCTGAGCATTCTCCGTTTTAACATTCTATTTTCATTTTATTAATCATTCCAATGATTTAAATAACATTTCATGATGAAGAAATTGATTAACGTATATTATTATTTTTAAGCGAGTAACGTGTTTTAATCAAACTGCTTTTAATAAAAATTTATTATAAATATATCAACAAATATATGAATAGATATTTATAAAAAGTATTTCCAATATTCTTCTAATAGCATTTATATTTATTTGAATTTTTCTTGATTTTATTTCACCTTTGAATCAGATCATATTGATTTTGTATTTTTTTTTAATGACTTAAATTAACAAACATTTTCTTTAAAATTTATTCACGTATAAAATTTTTACATTTTTTTCTTAATTTTATTTCCGATACATGTACTTTATTACTCACGATGTTAGAGCTTATACAATGATACATAAACTACTATTTCTTTTTAAAAACGACAAATAGAGAATGTATTTTAAAAAGAAATATCTATGATAAGATATATTCATTCCTACTTTTCTCCAACTTGAATAGATTATTTCTTAAGATAAATTTATGTATCACTTAATATTTCAGTGTGAAGTTATAAAATAGGAGACTGTTTGTAAATAGTAAAAAAAATAAAAGTGAATGTTTACTTTTCTAAAAGTTTCGTTAGAATGTAGTGTATTTTGTAATAAAATATTATCTGTGGAATTTATAGCAAACTTTTAAATTAAATATGCGTGTGTGCGTGATGACACGGAAAACAATCAATATGAAGATAAAGAATTGCAAGGCCGTTGCCTTGTTTTTATCGTCTGCTTTGTTCAATTTGTAACTATAATTGCAGTTATTAATTAATTATTTTTCTAAAACTTTAATTATTTAATTATTTCCGCGAAGTAAATTACACCTACATATTCAGGAATTTTTAAAAAGATTATTCCTTTCGATTAATTTAATTTTTAATAAATTTTAATTTTTGTTAGTTACTAAAAGAAAGTATGTTTGCTATTGTAATAATGAGAAATTAATTTGGTTGCGTAGTATTTATGATTGCAAGTTTGAGAGCATATATTTAGTAGATTCTAATTATATACTTTATATTATTTTTATAGATTGTGTATAAATATTTTAATTTTAAGAATTTATTTCTATTATTCTTTATGCAATAAGAAATTTTTTTATTTGCATAATGATGCTATTTATTATTATTTTTCACGATAAACTTTATATATTATAATTAAAATTAAATCATCAACATTGTTTAAATATTTCTCAACTCATGGGTACATATTTTAGGGTTGCTTCTTTTTGTTGTTTAATACATAAAATGGTGCATGATTAAGTTATATAAGTCGAAAATTTTATATATATATTATTATATTAAATGGTGGTTGCAATTCTTGAAAATTTATCAAAATATCAGGTTGAAGCAGATAGTCTTATATTAAAAAGGGATAGTATACATAAGAGTATAAAAATGATGTTTAAAGAGATTATTTGCTGTGTGATTTCAAGTGTCGTACACTTCTTATTACATAGTGTCACGGATTATATTTTATTAGTGTATTTACGTCAAAAATGTCACAAGACTATTATCTTTATTAATTTAACGTTTATTCACTTTGTTGACTTTCTTAATATACACTGATTGACTTTTCAGCTATAATTGGCATTTAATTTTAGCAAGAACTTTATTTTATTTTATCATAGCATTTAGTTAAATTCTTATTTTGATTTTATCTTATTTTAGTCACCTTTAATGATTTACATATAATTAAAAGAGTTTAATTTTTGTTAATAAATAGTATATTTATTTAAATAGTTTCTTTTTGAAGATATGCATATCCAAAAATTACTTCAAATAACACTTCCTGCAGTGAAACAGATTGTTTTTCTTCTGATACAATGTTTATGTGGAAAAAATGAATTATATTTTTCTTGAAATATATTTTCCTGTTCACAATATTCAAAATTCATACATAAAAGTTACATTCATTTTATTAAATATTATTAAATATAGCAATTAATAAAATAAATTAATTTATAAATACACTATATTTACATATTACAGTTATATAATTTTACAAATTAACTATAACTTACAAAACTAACTATATAAATTATTTTTTAAAATACCATTCTAAGACCTTTATACTAAATCAAATATCATTATACGAACATCTAATAAGTATTAAAATAAAAATTCTTCAAAAAAGAAGGAAAATGACATACGTACTCTGGATGTATATATATATATAATTATAGAAGTCTTGCTGCAACGCAAGTTTTGGCACTGACCTTTCTTATTTTTTCTCCTTTTCGTGTAATACTTACAAAATCTCTGTATTAAATTGTACACTCGAATATGATTGAGAGCCACGTCGGAGATTTTTTCATATTCAAGTGCAATTTCACTGTTCTTATTAATCATATGATCTGTTATCAAGAGGAATTAGTGAACTCGCTCGATAAAACGTTTCTTCCAGACCGGGATATCTCGGTGAATAAAGAAAGTTCCTCTATACAATGTCAATATATTGTCGTACTAAATCGTTGTTATCTACAGAGTCGGTAATCACAAGTTAAACGTGTTATCTGTACGTTGATCTTGCATCTGAAAATTTATTTCTTCGTGTCTTGGCTACCGTGACTTAATTATAACTGTACTCTCTAAAGCGTGCCAGTGTGACGAACAGCGTAAAAGAGTACACCTGTGTTATTTCGTGAATCTTTTTTCCCTTCTGCAGAGAATTCATGTATCAAATTGGTCCAGTACACTACGGTATAGGATTGTTTTATCGGCCAAGAGAAGGTTGCGTGCATTTCAAATATGGTGCTGTGTAGGTACACATATAAAATCAATATAAGAAATGAATGCGTCGATGTCGGTACGCATATGGACATGTGTTTTTTAAGATAATTAGGGATCGTTTATCGAAATGAAATAGACAGAGCTTGCTTGTTATTGTTTATGTGATAAAAGTAAACTAATTATTCGAAATCACACATGATACCAGACGTAGAATACTTTTATGTAGCTTGAAAAAATCTGTTGTTTCAACGGTAGCATTTTTTAAATTATTTTCATGGTGTCTTTTAAATATTTAATGTAAATATAAATATAATTTATTCAATGGACGTTTGTATAATATATACAATGTGTGATATGTTTCTTAAAAATATTCAAAATAGGAGTGAAATTTTTTATTAATTTACTAATATTTTTTATCATTAATAATTCATTTTATTAATATTTTTGGGCCCATTAAATAATATTGCGTGAAATATGTAATGTGTGCAATTGCAGGAAATGCAAGTTACTTTTCTCAAATGTTATAACATGTACCAAAATTTCTATTGTATTTTATTATATCTGATATATCTATTATATTCTCAAAAAATTAGGTAACAATTATTTAATATGTTTTCTCCTTTCCTGATCTGATAACAGATAGAGATTAAACAAGTATACATAACATTTGTTAACGTTATATTAATCCGGAATTAAACTAAATTTATTATTCAAGTGCGAGAGGTATGATAAAAGAATGTTTCAAATATACGTGATATTTATTTTTAGCAAGATTATTCAGAAGTATATACGTTATACGAAAAATTTATTCGAAAGACGAATTTTCTATAAACATAAAAATTGAAAATATAGCTTACAATATTATATCCGGTTTCATGTGTAACACAAACGTAATTCACATTATCGCATTATCTCGAATTACAAATATCGAATCCATAAAAAAGAAATCGGGTTTCGAAATTATTTCATCCTTTTTTCAGGGTGAATAAGATGGTATAAAGTAACATATACAATCATTATTAATAATTCAAATGTAAAACTGGATTTCATTTTTGTTATCAAGAGTGACAAAGATATTTTAATTTTAATCTCGCTTGAATAATTTCGCACATTTTGGCAACGTCACGTGAAAAATCATTATCTTAAGTTTTGCATCAATATTTTCCCAAAAGTAAGCAGTGAATCATATAATCAGTTGTCGCAGTAAAATAATATCGTTCATTTATAATCTCCATCAAACGTGGAGATAAATACTTTTCTAAACATTTATTTAATTATATCTTATACATATGTGTACAGCATGCGAAAAATTCGTATTTCCTGTTTCATTGCGTATAACGTTATACTTATCGGTAAGGTTTTATTATGAAAGTAATTTCGTAAAAATATGCTGACATCATGAAAATACTAATGATGTAAAGGTTACAGCCGATGTAATGAACATGTTGTAATGCCTCCTTATCGAGGACTTAATTTCCGTTCTCTGTATTTTTCATCCGGCGTTTATTGTGTAAGATTCGAAGTCTCTTTTCATTCGTCTTGGAAAAAGGATTGCCTATGAAACAGGCTTCCTTTGCGTGCAATTTATACGCGACACGTCGATTCCTCCTGACGCGATTATATCGAGAATCCAACGTTGTTAGCAAAGTGAAGTTCCATCGGGATATAATCAGTGAAAAATGCCAGGAAAGATTTACATCCCGGTCTCGACGAGTAAGACCAATTGCAATAATTGTTGTAGTAAGTGGACAAAATTGGTTTCGGGATTGGAGTGCTTGGAAGTAATTTTTATTTAGAAAAATTCGCACGTGTTCGAAACTTTTTTTCTGTAATTGAAATTGAAAAATTGAAATAGTACGTTACATTATATCTAATTATAAGCTCAATAGTAATAGCAATTTTATAATTTATGATATTACAAAGAGGTATAGCATTCTTAAAGCTTTAAAGATGAATAAAGATTTAATAATATTTCGAAAAATAATTGTCAAAAAAGATAGAATATTTTAATATTCAAAATATTTTTTGAATTTATTTTATTGTAATATAAAAAGCAAAAGATTGATGATAGTTAATGAATTTTTAGGCTCGATATATTTTTTATTTCATTTGATTACTGTATTTATAAAAGGTTACATAATATTTACTGATTGTATAGGGCTTTTAAGATTTTTGAATTTATTATACTGTAATATTAAAAAAGAAATGCACGATAGTCGACGAATTTCCAGAATTGGGATAACTTTTTAATTTATTTTATTACAACGTGAAACGAAGATGATATTGATTTAAAGTAATTAAATAAGTAATATGAAAATTTAGATTCTCTGTGTGATGCAATATATAAAATCTCAGGTGCATCGATATTACATAGTACTAATCTACGTGCCAAGTTAATTATTCGTTAATTAATAATGCACACTATGTATCGGCTACGAATATTCCGATAAAGTTCTCTTTACGCGAATAAAGGTGAATAGCTTAAAGCCTAATTCCAACATATTTTCAATTTTGCTGAACTTGTCAGTGTCGACGTAGTCCATGCATTATTTGTCACGTTTGTTAACGTTCATCTATTTATCCACTAATTAATGTTATCGATTTATCCATTAATATGTGTATATAGATATACATATTACCGTTTAATAGAATGTTAGTGTTCGTCAATGTAGGATCACTTATCCCACATTAGGATTTCTCTACAATACGATATTATGTTGACAAATACAAACTTGATCTTCGATATCTTAACGGAGATAATAAATGTTGCAATTTAATTAAGTTAATCTATTAGTTACGTATTCAGATGTAGTTAATCAGTCGATTAATGAATCATGTTAATTAATCATTTTAAAAAATGATATAGAGCATAATAGACGAAGAAAAAATTTTCTTTTTCTATGGAATATCATTTTCAGAATTATTGATTGATCAAGTGAATAATAAAATTTTCTGTGATTTTTTCACACTTCCAAAGGTATAATATTGCTATATTTAAGTTTTTCAATTTTAAATAAAAAAATGTAGCAATTCCAAATTTAAATAATATACAGTATTGGCATTAGTATTGCATAGTATTTAAATGCATATGTAGTACGTAAAATAATTTTCCATGTAACATTGTATTTAAAATAGAAAAAATGTAGAACCTTTAGGGTTTATTTCAAAATTGCTATTCTTTAGCTCCATTTAATTTGGTTTTCATTTCCTAATTTCAAAAAAATCTTTCATGAAAATTGCTCCATAGATAATTCATTATACTTTGCACCTTACTTTCAGTAAAACTCGAATTTTCTTGTAATATATCGTGGCAGTAAATAATAAATAATTATCTCGGTAACGATTGCACGAGTAGGTAATTAGTTGAAAAGTAATCGATTGCTCGGAAATAAATCGTAGAACTTGCGAAATTTCAGGGCGAGACGTGACTTCCGGATTCGATTTGAAGCAACTCCTTCTACGAAGGATACCGATCCTGGCATGGCTGCCTCGGTATAGCTTGTCCAAACTTCTGCACGACGTTTTGGCAGGATTGACCGTTGGTTTGACTGCTATACCACAGGGCATAGCTTATGCAATTGTGGCTGGACTTCCAGCTCAGGTGTGTATATTTGTTCGATAGTTCCTTACCGAATTTAAATAAAATATCGGAGAAATCTGGAGAAGAAAACTGAGATGGATTTTGATTTTCGAAATGTAGTTAAAAATTCCTTTAAATTGCTATTTCACCTACTTACATTTTTATGGCTTCTCAATTTAAACGGAATTATGTTAGTAAATTATCGTTTTAAACTATTCGAGAATTATATATATTTTATCTACTAACATTTTTTAATTAAAAAAAAATTATTGGAGTGTATAAACATTTTGTAATAGTGATTAAAATTGTTTATCTATCTTATTAAAATATTAAAGTATTTTAGCTATCGAATAAAATTGAATGCTAATTGCTTATTGTTATATGATATGAAAATTCTCTTATGTGAACAGTTTTGTCCTTCAATTAATTCATTTAACAGAGGCCTTAATGTATTAAATATTTAAGGAAGAGGTTCGTAGATAATTTCTTATAATTCGCATAATTTCAGAAACAATGTTCCGCGTATAATCGTCGCATAAATGTTACCAGCGTTATTGTAATTACTTCATTTACCCCAATATAATTACCGCGATAACGAAATATGTAAATCGGTGGTTTTGTTAAATACCATGATTTACACTTGATATTAATCGCGTTCATATTATTATTACGCATTTATCAACCACCGAATGCGAGTGAAACTTCGTTTACTCTTTTCGAAAATCCTTCCATCGAACGTTATCCATCTCCCTGTTCCCAAGAAAAAAGGAGAAAAAAATGAAAAAAGAGGCAAAGAATAATAATTCCATCTCGATACGAAAGCCAAGATAAAAATATCGAGCGTGGAATAAAAATGCACATTTTTAGAAATTGAGCCGGGACTATCGTTACTCGCCAATAAATTCACGTTTCAAAGAAAATGAAAATAAAAAAGCTGGCAGAGAGATAGAAACACGCAGAGCAAGGATAAGGGACGAAATATAGTGGCATTTAATTTACCTTGCAAATGTAATCGCGATGTTGTTGATCTTTGACGTGAGAAAGAAAGAAAAACTATCGATAAATACAACTAGACGGAAAGGCGATCCTCGTTAGATGAACTTTTGAAAACTTCAGTACGGCCTCTACAGCAGTTTCATGGGGTGCTTCATCTACCTGGTGTTCGGTAGCTGCAAAGACATCACGGTGGGTCCAACAGCAATAATGGCTTTACTGTCGCAGCAGCATGTTATAAGACTGGGAGATGATATCGCGGTAAGTGCACCTCCACGTTCTTCCTCTTTTATTTTTTCCATCTTCCTTTTATTTTTTCTTCTTTTCCTTGGTTCTATAAGGTTAAGCTGACTTTGTTTTCGACTAGAAAATTCTCGAGAGAAACGAACGAATCGTCACTTAATTTAAAACCAAATGAAGAGAATTTAAAATTGGTTTTAAATGCTGACGTATTTCAACTTTGAAGATTTTATTAGGTAATTCTAGTCAGTAGATTTTAGTAAGATTAATTAAGGAGATGAAAAATTGATTGATTTCGAGATGAGGAAACTTTTACCTCGGAATTGTCTCGAGACTGAGAATTTTATTATTCTATCATTGGAAAGCAGAAAAATATGACTAATTTCTTGGAAACTTAGTATTCGTGGAAACATACTTTATATCATAGTGATACAAAAATGGAATTATTTATTATGATTTTTTTGCGCGAGTCTAATAATGCGGAAAAGAATTTATTGATAGTGATACGATAAGAGGATTTATTAGTTAGATATTGTGAAGTGTGCTTAATCTTTGAAAATAAATCGAGTGTGAGAAATTTCAGGAAAAATGTGCAATTACTTCGTGTTAGATATTTATTTTATCATAGCAATTTAAAAATATTATTTACACATTTTTCACCAATGTCAACGATATCGTAAAGAATATAATGATAAATACAGGATAGAAAATGGAGTAGAAGATAGGTGATGTTAATGAATTTGGGAAGATCTATTGCGATCTTTGATAAGACGAAACAGTGCAGGGTAGGTCGACTTTTTAAGAAATTGTATTACTGGGTTACGAAGTTTTTCCTGGTCCGCGTTTCTACCTAGACACTTCTTAGATTGCTATCTATTTAGAAGTCTGGACAACTTTCGTAAAGAAAAGCGTCTGATTAACCAAGAAAGCGTGGAAATTTCATTGAAAAAGTTTGTTGAATTCAAAAACAGCCAGTATTTCGTCTGAGAGATTAGAAACTTGTCGTTCTTTAAAACCCGCAAGAATTTTATCAACATCTCAACACTGGAAGTACCAAATAAGTCACAACGACTGGTTTCGAAGCACTTTAATAATTGCTTTTGGCAAAATGAACATCCAATGACTGATAATTACATGTACCTATTTATCTCCATTGTAACATTTTAATTATTAATATTTATGTACATTTATATGTACATTATTATGTACAATTTATATCACAGTCAAAGAATATATATTCCAACACTTATGTGCAAAAGTGCATAAAAGAACACAATATTTGCGATCATTCGGAACATTTATACCTTATTAGATTGTTAAACGAAGTATACTACATTTGTAGTTTATTTGATATATATGTAATACAAATTATATAATTGATAAAGTAAATACATAAATATAATTAATACAACTAAAATATATAAATGGAATTAATATAATTTACGTAATCTATTAATTACATAATTTTAATTTTATTGATTTTATTAATTATATAATTTTAATTTTAATTGTACGATATAATTTATGTAACTTATCCATTATATGATCGATTTTCATTTAAATTAGTTTACGTAATATAATTTATATAATATATTTATATAATATATTATATTCTCTTATATTTTATTATATTATAATTTACATAATATATATTATATTTTTCAAGAAGCATAGAAAAAATTGAATAATTTTTCAGCGATAAATAATGACTGATTTTTTTACTCCTTCAGGTACTTTTGTCCTTCCTGACAGGCTCCGTGATCATGCTCTTGGGACTGCTCCGTTTGGGATTCCTCGTAGAATTTGTTAGTATGCCAGTGATATCTGGGTTTACGAATGCAGCTGCCATAATAATTGCAACGTCTCAGCTGGGCACATTGCTTGGTCTGAGTGGCAGAAGCGACTCATTTATCGATGCGATCGTTAAAGTTGTTAATCACTTCGATAAAATTACTCCCTGGGATCCATTATTAGGCATCTGTTCCATGATCGTGCTCGTGGCTCTGAAAGTAAGATTTTTTAATTATCTTCCTACATATCATAATCACATTTGTCATTCGATGATTGATTAGATACTTTTGAAAATTAAGAAAATATTTCTGGTCGAAGAACAATTTTAACATAATCTCTGCTTAAGAGTACCACCCCTGGCAAAAATCTTCGGTCAAACACGAAAATATGAATTTATCTAAAATTACTATAATTTGTTAGATTTAGCATGCTATAATATAGGCTTGAAACAAAGTGTTGAATAAAAAAAAAAATAATTCGAATCTTTATTTATTATTAACGAGAAAATAATGGAAGAATAACCACTATCGAGTTTGGTCAACAACTTTTTGCCAAGGAGAAATACTGGCTGCAGAATTTTTAATCTCTTACTCGAATGTCTTGGTTCCGCAATATTTTCATGAATAATAACTCGGTATTAAGCTTTGCATTTCTATTAAAATTAACGGTGTAGGAATATTCGCATACGTCTACGTTGCATTTACCATTCATTTGCTATTTTATTATTCGTAACAGTTTTTGCGAAAATATTTCTTCGCCGCAAAGCAAATCATTTGTCAAACAATGAAATAGCAATGATAACAGAAATTGTATTGAAATAATACATTGAATGTTAGTCAAAGTAACTCATAACACGTAGATACGAGATATATAATTATTAATTTTAGATAGATTATTAATTTATACCTTTATATGTCCCTGTTCGTTCGATTGACTATTAAAATAGTTATTTGGGATTCTCGAGCTTCGTCTTACAAAATGGAACGATTGTTTAAACGTTGAAAACAGAAACTACCCGGAAAGAAAACTGGCACCTTGTTTCAAAAATTCATGTGGGTGACATCGTTGGCTCGAAACGCTGTGGTGGTCATCGTTGGAGTAATACTAAGTTACTCGTTGTTCTCTTACGGCATTAAACCCTTTAAAATTACTGGGGACATAACGAAAGGTTTACCGCCGTTTTCACCACCACCGTTCTCTCTTGTAAAGGGAAACCATACGTATAACTTCGAGGAGTTAATCGGTGAACTCGGAAGCACCGTCATTTCAGTTCCTATGATCGCTATTTTGGAGAGCATCGCTATCGCCAAAGCTTTTGGTACGTTGCAAGTCAGACGAAAACGTTAATTTAATATGTGCCGACGATTATAATACTATAAAACGTAACTAATACTATACTGATACTACCAAAGTGCTTTGTGACCTATTTAAAGTTTCGCGCTTTATGTATATTACGAATTAAAGTAATTAACACTAGAACTACCAACCCAGTTAAAATGACTGGTCCCAGAATTTTCCTTTCTGCAATCACCGAACACATACATCTGCTTTATGAATAAAATTGGTATCAACTCATATTAAGAAAGAACTGTAATCAATATATTCACTCATATTCATCGTACCGCTGAAATTACTATAATCTGTGCACGTTATAGTTAGGTACCCATTAAAGATCGGTAGTTCTAGTGTTAATTAAGTCAGAGGTAGACACTCTATACTATTTTGCCAAAAATAGTTTTATTTTATTGCAACTCGAGTGATAGTATCACAAAATAAGCGATAAAATCGGTTCCTTCGAAGCTTTTACTTTCATAACCATTTTTATAATCCTTTTAATTATAAAATTTTGTATACTCATCGGCACATATGTATATATATTAAATAACTTTTCCACGTTACATTTACTTATGCGAATTATCGAATATCGAATCAAATGCTGAAGGAAGAAGTTGCTAATGGAACGTGCTTTTCGAGATTACGAATTATTCGAGGAAATTGAAATTAAATAAAGATTCAAACCGAATGAAAGTTAAATTAAATTGAAACAACGCGAAATCATACCTTCAAAGCACCAAAGTTGTTACGTTAAATCGTTTCAACGTCAGAAGAAAGTTCTTTAACAAGTATTCGATAACAAAGTTAATTATAATCTTCCTTTGTGCATACATTGTAACGGGAAATATATCGAATTCTTTCGATAATACCACTTAAACGAAAATTATTTCTTTCCTTACACGAACACTTTGCTCCTATAATCCAAATAACAAAATTATTATTTCATTAACAACTACAACATTAAAACTCGTCTTTCTTCATCTCGTATAATTTATTTCATACAATCAACTTTGCCTAACAACTGAAATATTGTCCATACAAATTTTAATGTACAAATTTTTATTAAAATTCCATTTTAAATGATTTCCATATTACTCTCCTTTCTCACATAAATTGTGAGATATTATCCATACATTTATCGTAAAATACTGATCGTGAATTTTGATATGAAAATTTTTACTAAGACTCTCCTGTGATTAATTCAAACATTTTGATTAATTCGTGTCTTATTCTGTCTCCACTAGCCAAAGGGAAGACCGTTGATGCTAATCAAGAGATGCTAGCTCTAGGACTTTGTAACATTTTCGGGAGCTTTTCCCGATCAATGCCAACCACAGGAAGCTTCACAAGGACCGCCGTAAACAACGCTTCGGGTGTAAAAACACCGATGGGCGGTGTAATTACTGGATGTCTAGTGCTTTTAGCGTGCGGCCTTCTGACCTCGACTTTCGAATTCATCCCAAAAGCAACACTCGCCGCAGTGATTATAGTCGCTATGTACTACATGCTTGAACTTCATATTTTCACCGTGCTTTGGAGGACGAAAAGTAAGATCCGATTAAGCGCAAATTACGCTCCGCGTCATCTCGCCGCCATTTTCCTTCCTTTTCATTCTTTTTTCTTCTTACGGACTTCTAAAAATCCCTATGTGCTCGTCCGACGAAATATCATTTATCAACTTGTCTGGCGAGAATAAGAAAGATATTTTCACGATAAATTTGTTATTTAAGATACGCTCGTTTGATAATCCTTGTGATTTATTGACTGGAGATTGCAACCGTATAGTGTAATAATATTCGCGTTAATTGTCGGTATTTAGAAATGTATCATTCGATTTGTTTTTATAGACAAAGGAATAAGATCTGTGAAAAGGCGCGACATCTATTTTATCAAATGGCCCATAAAATGTCACGAGAAGATATCATTCGGACAACGATCGCGATTCTGCAGGATCCTAACAATTTAACACTTGTCTCTGCTCGTAGAGATCGATTTGATACCTTTGACGGTGACTTTGTTGAGCTGCTTGGCAATTGGTCCAGAATACGGCATGATTGCTGGGATCGCGGTAAATCTAATTCTCCTGCTCTATTTCGCGGCCAGACCTGGATTATTGATCGAAGAACGTGTTGTCGATGGGCTGACGATTCTGTTTGTATCGCCGAAACAATCATTGAGCTACCCAGCCGCGGAATACCTACGCGAACGTGTGATGTCGTGGTGAGTAAAGTCACTATTGCCCTCACTTGCTCTGTAATTGGATCATAAATCCGTGGCTCTCGGTCTCCTGTCAGATCGTTCATTTTATTTACTTCCTAACCCGACATTATTGTTCTTTAGGTGTGACAGCAGAGGAGGAACTATTCCCGTGGTAGTGGAAGGCCGTCACGTGCTTAGAATCGATGCAACCGTCGCCAAGAACCTTGCTTTGCTTCTGGCCGACTTGGAGGCTAGGGACCAGAAGCTGGTCTTCTGGAATTGGTGCGAGAAAGCCAAGAGAACTTTGATAAGCTACGACGCTTCCCTGACGATGTCCTTCAGAACTTCCGGTAGCATAGCTCAAATATTTTCAGGTAGATCCGCATCGCCTCATCTTGCACGCGAGTGAAATTCTGCATCTAATGAATGCACGGAACACTTTCCTTGGAATGTGCCCAAGCTTGTTCAACGAGTTACGGCTACTTTTCCAACGATTCGCGTTTAATGAAGTCGCGTGAATCGTTGAACTGTACTTTATGTAACGATGGGTCACGTTTTGGTCAAGATTAGCCCTTGATAGAACTTCGATCGTCCTTCGATTTGGCTTTCGAGCACGACGATCTATCGAAATTGCGCGAACCTTACTTGGCTGTTTGGGAGTAAGTGCCGTTTCAAAGATCACCTATAGTAAATGGCAAATTTCTCTTCGTTGTTAATATAAAACCTAGTGGAGTAAAAAGAGATACAGTTTTTGGAGATATAGGAGAAGAAAAGGAGTTTAATGATACGTAAATAATTTTCTATATCTATATGAAACAATCTTCCAACTGTTTTGTAATATTTATTGTAAAAGTGAACGGTTTTAAATTAAACCTATTTATGGACCATTCGTATTGTATCATTTGGTATATCGAATTTTTCGATTCTCCTATTGTAAAGAAATTCTCTTTGAAATTGGCTTCACAAAAAAATGACTACTCCATATGAGAAATAGCAACAATTTCTATGTTCATTTCATAGAATCATTGCCTCAAGTTTTATTTGAAATGGTACATATTTCAAGATACCACCTTCCTAATTAAAGCGAGTGTACACTTTAGACGAGTGCATACCTTTAATGTTTGCTAGTTTAGGTTTTTCAGCCTCTAAGTAAGCCTTTTTTATTCTTCGTTTAGCTATTAGAGTGAAATAATTATGAGCATGCTTTGCTTTTTCTTACTAATCCATAAGTTGTGACAGATTTAATATTCGACATCGATACTTTAATATCGATTCGTGTAAATACACGGCCAGGCATTGAAGGTAATGAAGTATCTCGATTCGTTTCATATGGAATAACGTTTGCGCAATCATGTGACATCAATTGACGGAAATGTTCTGTCCAGAGAATGAAACTTTATTTGAATGTTTCCACGAATAACTATTGGAAAGTTTCACAGGAGAAATTTTCACCGCAACTACGTTCATGATTCTGATAAAAAAATCTGGTTATTTATACATGGTTCTCTACCATCATACACGTGTGAGTAAAATTGTTTTTCCATGAGATGAACGAGAATAATACTGACTAAATTGAATCAAAAAGTGATTGAAATTTTCTAATTAAATTTGTTCTCTCTTGTATACCTTCCGACCGTGTTTGAACGATTTGTTTTAGGAACATGACAATCTCGATTGGCAATTCGTAGTTACGCGATGAAGTTTATACAAATAAAATTTAAATTAAAGAGATATGAAATATTATATTTCTAATTTGGTTTTACTGTTAAATTATGATGTAGTAGATTTATCTTCACGTTTATTCTTGTATAATTGAAACAAAATGCTATTGTACCTGCATTAAGAGTAGAAATATGCTTTAAAGTTGTTTGAATATACTTGCTAGACCTAGTCGAATCTAGAAATGTGTAAAATATTAAATGATGGGAATTATATTAGCTTTAAACCCAACATAATTTTAAATATTCGAATAATATGAAATTATTAAACAAATAATTTTAATGTAAATTAATATTAGCCACTTTTGAATACTCAAGAATATAAAATTATTTTTTTTACGAGGAAAGTAACATCTAAATATTTAAAATTAAATATTCAGGGTGTTCAACGTAACGATTGCACGGATTTTTCAGGCATTTACTCTAATCTGACAAAAGGATATTCTTTTTAATAGAAAATTTAAAAGAAAAGTTTTTTATTTGATAAAAAATGTAGGTCAGGTGTGATTATTACGTTAAACACCCTGTATATATGAAAATTTTTAATATTATAATTTGACTAAATAATAACAGTTTATATGTTTTTAAAGAATCATAATATTTAGTATACGTAAAATGATTGTCAATGATAATGATAACGTATTTTGAATATTATTATAGTTATATAAGAAAGAAATCCTTATTTGAAAATTGGTCAGAATGTATACTATGTTATTTATATTATGATTTATCTTTTTAAAATAAAATTTACTTTTAAATTCGATCAAATGTTTTTCGGTTTGTATGTCTATATTTAAAAGATTTTAAATGCACGTGAACGTTTAATGAGATTAGTTATCAAAACGAGAATGAATTTTATTGCACAATTGATAATAAACCAAGCCAAAGCTAAACAAAAAAAAATAATATTTCGATTATTGTGACAACGTAATATCGTTACGTAATACTATTTAATTACATGTATTACGCCTATGGAGTTAGTATATTTTCCGTAATCAACTTTAGAATATCACTTTGTATTATTTATTATATATCATTATCTTAAAATAGACTTTTCCTTTTTATAGACTAACATAAATTATTATAATTTACTTGATACGATTGAACAATTTCACAATATAAAAGTTAAAAATATAGTTTGTAGGGAGCTTCCGCGCCCTTTTTTTCATTTCATTAATACGCATGCGTAAGAAATACCCCGCGTTCGCGGTTGCGCGCGCATTGATGACCGACCAATAAGAAACCTGGGTAGTAGAGGGTGCTTCGATCGATGCACTCGCCCTAGGAGTGTGCGCCAGTGGGCGACCGTTTACAACGCGATAAGCGTCGCGGCGCCCTCAACGACAGGCAAGTTGAGGACGTCGTCCTAGTACGTCTGCCTTTCATTCGGTTGTGTTTCCTCGTGCGGGTTTGTTCGTGTCAATTCACAGGAAACGAGAGCTCCCGTCCTTGCAAACCGTCGGTCGTCGGTGTTGTTATATTTTCTGTTTACGACGAACAGCCGTCACCGTGTACGCGATGAAACAATGAAGCAGGCGTCCACGAGCAACGACACTGACAAGAAGATGCCGGTATACCACTTGCACACGGGAAATGCGGGCCAGCTGGACAGTGTTGCTGTGTAATCGTGAGTAATTTTGTATTTCATTTGTCGAGATTATTCAAAAGCGTGCCCACCGGAGCATATTTCGAATCATGTCGTACAGTTTCTTCTAGAGGTCAGTGTACTTGAGAATTGTTCAATTTCTGTTACGATTAACCGATATACTGGCCGAGAGATTCTCGTGGATTCGTGCATGTGTGTCATGATTCGGGTGACCGTAGTCGATCTAACCTTCATTTGACCAAATCAACTTTCTGTTATATTCGGTCACATTTCTAAATAGAATTTGTTATTGCTTTCACTTTCGACGTCCTGTTATTCGTATGGACTGACAAATTTCGTTGATATTTTAGTGTTAGATATCCTTTCGCTTAGTATTTAATTAGGTTATGTGTAAATATCGATCAGAATTTGTTTCAAAGTCGATATTTTCGTCGTAATTCATAATCATTGGAAAAATTTACTATCGAGTCCCTGATATAACTGAAAAAACATGGATTTGAGTACAATAAATTGCATTAATTAATTATTAATTAATGATCATTATTTCGAGATTTGAAATATATCATTTATATATTATTTAGTAATTTTATGGGATAAAGGTAGTATATCAAAGACGTAATGTATAGATGTTGACTCTCGTTGTGCGTTGATGCGTATCAGTTCAAAAGCATATCGAGCATATTTTCGTATAGTTCGAGTGAAATTAATTCGGATACTAATTTTTAATTGCGTCGTAACGGCGGAAGTTCTGTTAACATATGTGTATGTCACTTAATGAATAGCAAGAGCATTCAGGACGTATTTTAATTTAATTATGCGATCTTTGTGATCTCATACATAATTATCAACCGTGTTTATACGCATTTTCTAATACTGTGCTATATTTGATCGATTACCGACCACCTAAAATATTTTTAAAACATGCTAATTTAATTCAAAAAATTAAAAAATCCGGTAGATTTTCTACGATAATAATACGTCAAATATTTCTCGATTTAAAAGATAAAGAAATCGGCTAGGTTAGGCCTCCTTTTCGTATTTTTATTAAAAATATTTCACGAATAAATCATAAAAGTATAACGTAATACATGAGAAAAGAAATCGGCCATATAGAATGATCGATATATTTAATTCATATCACAATTTCGATCTAATGTAACATTTAAAATTGATAGATAGCGAAAGTGTATCCATATTTTTAATCCCGTGCAAACAGGTGCTTCCGGTAAAATAGCACCGTAATCAAAGTACAAAATATTTTCTATTTTCTTTCTTCTATAAACTTTATAAATATCGTTAATTTCTCAAATTTTGTCATTCAATTAAGTTCATTAAAAAATTAAAAATACTTTGCTACATTCAGGATGGACTATTTAATGGACGGTCTGCAATGTAATGGACGGACATTTATTATTTCGTAAAGAAATAATGAACAATAACGCGCTATAATTGGAATACAATTAGAAGTTCATTAGATCTCTCGGTAATTTTGGGGAATTAATTAAATGCCGGAGATGAAGTTGACGCTCTGCATTTCATATTGCAGGATGCCAAGAACAGGTTTTATTCTATCTTCAGCTTACAGCAATAACGCGTATGTATTCCTTGAAGGAATATAGGGTCTGCGCGAACGGTTTGAGACAGCGAAAACGAACCGAACGAAATGAACAGAATGAAACGAACATCAAACGCGGAAACGGACCAACCCTTGCCCCCTTCGAGTACCAAAGCTCGTCGGTTCACCGATACTGACTAACACAGAGCGACGGTCACTCGAGACCCAGGTCCACACCAATATTGTACTACTACAGTGATAGACACCCGGCTCATATAGGAACACATACTAGGAGCATATAAGAACAAATAATAATTACACGAATAATAAAGTTGTGTTTATTAGATATTTATGTATTATTATTTTGGGCAAGTTTACAATATCTTCTGCAAATTAAGCGAATGAATACAATGGAAGATTGCTGGTTGGGAATGGAAACATTGCGCGAACAAATAATGGGAAGAACGAAGAAAAGTAGTAAAAAGAAGAAAATAGGAATAAAAATAGTGATGAATAGTGAAATCCATTTCATAAAATCAATTTCATAAAATTACATTTTTAACGTAATAGTGTGAGAGGAATTTTTATTTTCGATGGCGTCACTCTGCATCGGGATCTGTTTTGCTTGGAGGAAATTTAAGAGCTGGTTTATCGAAGTTAGGCTGTTACCTGTTATAATGGGTTGGTGTCATGGTATGGGGTGTAAACAATATGGGAACCTTGCTGGATAGTTTGAAGGGCGACTTCTCCGCA